AATATATCTGTCATTTGTGTGTTTTTAGCTTTCTTCATGTATTTCCATCAAAATTTGAAAAATTAGTGCAGTGGTTTATGTTAAAATAAACCTTTTGGTTAAGTTGTCGCAAGCGGGTTTTTCTTATGTTTCTTGTGAATTTGGTCTTAAATTTTTATTTCAAGTGGCATTAAAAAGTCTTGTATTTAACTTGCCTTATGCTGTAGGAACCCTGCAGGTACAGTTTTAAGATTTCTTAAAAGAAACACATTAAATTTGAGTGTTTATTAAGGTTTCACTTTCATATTGAGCTAAACAACCTGTTCTATCCAATTGCTTGATATCTACTTGAATCTCGAAATGGAAAGTTAACATATTTTTGTCTTAATTTTAAGTCAGACTGGTTAAATCAGAATCTATATTCAGCAGTAAAGCCAAAGGTTAAACAGGAAGCTCGTGTTTGAAGGGTTGGGTCATGTCCTGATAGTACTGTTTACCCTGTGCGTGGACCCTGAGTTTGCTTAAGATTTAAAGGGTGTGAGCTGAGTGAAACAGCAAATGATAGGTAGCTAACCAAGGAAATGTAATCAGGCTAAACTGTGGCTGAATCAGGATAGCAGAAACCAACTGACAACAGGACCAAAGAGAAGAATGAGACTTTATATAGCTTGGGTGTGTGTTTAACAAGCTGTTTGCTTAGTTAGTCCTTCAAGTGAGTAACTAGATAACTCTGTAGTAGGTATTGCAAAAAAATGAGTCACTTTTTTTTCTCAAGTCTCACACTTTAAATAATAAAATCTCACACTTCCCTTTTTTGCAATCAGAGATTGTAACCTGTGCCCATTGTTTTCTAAAAAACCCAACTTCTATTAGATTAGATTAGTTAAATTCGACAAGTTAGACACTTAAACATATTAAATGAGTTTTTTTTTTATTTAATTAACATAATCATTAGCCACATATACATTAAAGAAAGCAACACAATGAAGATATATAGAATATTACAGTGTGTTCTCATTATCAGTTCGTATGACATCGTACGAAAAGTTATGCACAGTATTTCGTACGTTTTTGACGTTTTTTTCGTCGTATTTTGGTGTCTTTTTACGTCTTGCCTCGAGACAAGATATCCGTGCGCATGCGCATCTTACGCACCCATTCAATAACATAAAATTTAACATACAATTAACCCTAACATACAAAACAGCAAGCAACCTAGTGAGAGACATCATGAAGTAAATATTGCACTGTCCGTGTTGGGATCCTGAGGCTTGCCCGCCAGAGGGAGCTGAGGATCCCTTCCTAGGGGTTTGTGTTACTGTTGGGATCTGGGGTTCTGTCCACCTTTCTCCACCAGAGGGCGTATTGGATCTCCTGAAGCTGGAGCTGACTTCACCAGCTGTTCCTCATCTGCTCATCAGGAGATCAGTACTTAAGCGGGCTGAGAACCTCACTCCGGTGCCAGAGTGTTAGTCAGTTACGGTACAGCAAACCCTAAGCCAACCTGTCTGTCTAGTCTCCTGACTACGACACCTGAACCAGAACCTGATCCGTTTTGTCTTCTCTGCTTCCCAGGTTAAACCTGCCGGAAACCCCCTGAAGAGTTTCTCTGGTGGAATTCTGTCTGTCTGATCTCAGAAGAATCTGGAAGGGAAACTCAAACCTGGAGATCTACAAGCTCTAACCAAGCTCAGCCTCCACCAAGCCCTCGGCCTGCCGTCAGCCTCTGAACCCTCCTGGTTTTCCTCCCCTCTGCTGCTCTGTTCAAACCCCAGGACAGTAACCCAGCCGTGATCAGCCCTGGACCTGATTACCCCCCCCGACCTGTTTTTGCACCTCTTCTTTATTAAACCTTTGAACTTTTTCCCTGCCTCAGAGTTGTGTTCTGCATATGGGCTAGCATCCAGAAACCCATTATGACAGTCCGTCCCCGTTTTATGTCCATCCGCGGATCTGCTTTTTTCGTCTGTGTGGCTGCGCATGCGCACTATGTTTTTTTCGAGGAAAAACATAAAAAACGTACAAAATACTGTGCATAACTTTTCGTAGGATTTCATACAAACTGATAATGAGAATATGTTGAATATTACTACTGTAGGGTGGTTCGATATCATATAATGGCGGCATGTTCAGGGTGTTTCTCCTACTGGAGGGCAACCCGCAGCCCACTCTGATATCTTTCGTTGCCCTATATGGTTGTTTTTTCAACACCATCCTGTACTAAACTCCATGGATCCACCTATTAATTGTAGCTAGTTTTCCTATCTCTGCTGATAAAAAAAAAGCACTTCCACATTACGATGCTGTCATCATCGTATTTTATGCCAGGATGGTACAGTCAAGGGAATTTGACATGCATGTTTTTGCACCATATGATGTTTGTATCAAAAATTTTTAAACATTTTCCATCCTAACAAAAGGATATTCGTCTCCTTATACATCTTCCATTTATTTTTTTTCCCCTCAATAGGTTCCGTGTGGCTGCCCATTCTGTCAGACTTGAATTTCAGATACAGTAACAGCAAAGAGAAAAAAAAACACCATTTCATATTTTTATATAATAAGGATGTAATTGCATAAATAGGCTGATCTTTCTCAGGTTTTACAATCATTTAAACATAATCTCATGTTTACAAAAGCATTCATCCAAATTCCACAAGATCATTATCTCTCAAACAAAGATGAAGCCAAAACAGAAGAAAACTGTGTAAAAACAAAAAGAAGCACAGGTCAAACCCAAAACGCTAAAAATGCATCAAGAAAACTAAACAGACTTTACTGGTGGATCTTTAACATCATTTATCTCTTAAGTGTAAACTATTTTAAAGACACCCAGATGTGTTTAAAACAGTATCAATTTATGTTTGAAGCGATAAGTAACCTGTTGGTCAAATAAATCAATTTATAAAATTGATCATCTGGTGTTGACATGAAATATTGTGATTATTTATGTGCATCCTGTTCCTCTGAAATTCAGATTTTTAAACGTCTGATTTAAGTGTACCCCACCAGGCGAGGAAGGCTAGGAAAGGTCTTCCGCATGCTCATGCACTTCTCCTGATCCAGGAACAGAGAGTTGGCCTTGATGGACAGATCGTGCTCCAGGGTCACTTTTGTCTTTGCAAGAGTCTGCAGGGTGTTCTCTGCCTCCATCAGTCTTTCCTGAAGTTTCTGAATAGTATCCTCAATCTCTCTTACCTCAACCACAAGCCTGAAGAAGCAAAGATAAAGACAGGTAGTTGAATGTTTATTTATTTTGTAAAAAACTAAACCCTAATTCAGCACATAAACTCAAAAAGAATGCTAGCAGATGTAAACAGATGAGATGTTTTGGTTCAGGGTCTAAAGGACACTATAATGTTATTCGGTTTGTCTACTTTGATACTGGATTAAACTGCAGTTTTGAAACTGTCTTAGGATGGTAAAAGATGGTAAAAACTGTATATATATATATATATATATACAGTTGTGCTTGAATGTTTACATACCCACCAAAAATGATAACAAAATGGAAATCATGAGATAGATTTTATCTATATATATAGATAATAGAGACTCTAAAACATGCTGACAGAGCATGAGCAGCAATTATACCAAATAAAACAAAAATGTAAAGATTTTGCATTTAAGATTAAAATCCTTTTTGTCTGTCAGTCTGCTCTATCCAGAACTCCTCAAGTTGAAAATGTTTAGTTTCACCTTAGTTTTGCAAAACGTCTTCTTTAAGGAACCTTTGAATATCGAATCATCGAGTAATAATCGGATATATATCCGAAAAAGAGAAAAAAGAGATATTGATATATATATATTGATATATTGAAATATATATACATATATATATACTGATATACGTATATATATCGATCTATACATATATTAATAAATAGAACAACTAAACAACAAAACATTGGTTATGCAACACTTTGAGGCAATAATCACTGAAATCAGGTGTTTTCTATAATGTTGAGGGAATCTTCAGTCTGCACCTGTTGACAGGTATATTGATCGCTGTTCATGAGCGAGGCACTTTAATTTGTTAAGGACATTCTGTTCTTTATTTTTTATTTAAATAATAAAAAATTCAAAATACATTTTTTTTTTTACCAGTTAATATTCAGTTTTGTGTTATTTACATTTCTAGTCTCAATTTATCATTTTCTTTACTGGGAGGACATGTAACCATCAAGCACAACTGTAGATATACAGTGTTTAAGAACACTGTATATCAAAATAAAATTAGATTTAAGTCAAAATAGATATGCCTAAAATAAAAACAAATAAATAAAAAAGGTACGTTTAACCTAACAGGCATTCCTCCTATGAATGTACATTTAAATATACCTTTATCACCAATAGTTCAAAGATAAGAAAGCAGGTTTAAACTATTATGTCAAAGACTGAATACCTTACTTTTTGTAGACTTATGTATCTGCTGGACAGTTTGATGATAAAATCAGCTAAACCTTCACCTGTGATGTGGATTATCTCTGCAAAGCTCTATGTTGGGCCTCCGTGTTCTCTCCTCCAGCCGGGTTTGAGCTACTTTTAATGGGCTCTCTTTGTCTCTTAGAGCTTTCTTTAGAGACTCAATCAGCAGCTCGGTCTGAAAGATCTCCTGCAAAGTCTGGTTAAAGCGCAAACATATGAGAGGTTACATCTAAAACAGGATATCAGACATAGAAACATCTGTGTGGATTTAGAGAATATGCAAAGAGGCAAAAAGTAAAATGTTTCCACCTTTGTTTTGCTCAGAGTCCTGCTTTGTTCAAATTCTTTTAATTACATTAATTCCTTCTTTCAGGTGAACCAAAAAAAAACTGTTCATCATGAACAAAATGTATGATATCACTGCTACCTTTCAGGGTTAAAATACATCAAATAAATAGGCTTCTCTATAACTGCTGTTATCAGAAAATGGTCTTGTTACTCAGAGGCCAGCAAGATTCGGTGTTAAATATCCCACCACCAACAGAGCAATGTTTTGGCATTCCTATATTCTGGCAGAGGACAGACGTTTCCTACAGGCCTTACGTTGCATTTTTTAATGCTGTTTTGCAGGTAATACAATGCGTGAAATTAAAGTTTCTCTGTGAAAATCAACAATAATTGTTAAGGCATAACAGCTCCTTTATAATAATTACATTTAAAGAGAGAAGATTTTATTTAATCTTTATTCCTGACTTTACACATGTAGTTGTATAACTGATAAACTGATAATCTTCGCATGAGAATAAAATCATAACTTTGAAAACAAATCCCTATTCACTTATCTCTCTTCCATGAAGAGCTTTATGACATATTGAAATAGAGGCGAGTAGAAGAGGACCTTAGCTAGGTGTGCCTGCAGGTTGTTCTTGGTATCAGCTGTTTCAGAGATGCGGTTGGTGAAGGCAACATTGACACTGTTGAACTGGTTCCACATTTCATTGGACGTTGTGCTTAGCAAGATTTCTATTTCATCCCTGAGTTTGTTAGAGGCCGCCCTCTCGCTCTGGGAGCGAAGGATGTTGTCGTCTGTAAACTTTGACCATGAGTCCGGCAGAGAAACTCTGGCAAAAAAAGAAAAAAGAAGCATAAATACTAGTGCTGTCAAAATTATGGCATTATTATCGCGTTAACGCGAGGCCATTTTAATGGCGATAATTTTTTTAACGTGAGATTAACGCTATGTGGTTTTATGGTACAATTTTCCAAGTACATCCC